AGACAACTTAAGATTTCCTTAAACTTAAGTATCACCTAAGGATCAAAACTCATACTTAAAATCAACAAATAATCAACTAACCATAAAACTCACATTTGTTATGGTAGCTCACGGCTGAAGGAGAAGAAGAGAGTGTTTTCCCTTAATATTATCCCCCACGTATATATCCTTATCTTATCCCATTTTTAATTCATTTCTAGGTCAAATGACCATTTTGCCCTTCCATTCATCATTCTTTGTAATTTTATTCCTACGTCAAACTTTTCATATAAATCCCTAAACTTTTCAACAAGTTATACTTTAGTCACTAAATTTTAAACTTTTACAATTTGGTCACTAACCCATAGTTTGAGATGTTCCATATTTTATATATATATATATATATATATATGTATGTATATATATATATTATAATTTTTTTCAATTTTTTAAATGAATGCAATTTACTATATTTTTCATTATTTCTACACATTTTGCATTTATTTTGATTTCATCCTTTTGTTATTTTTTTAATTTATTTCAATTTTAAGTCTTTCACTTTTATGTGTATTCAATTTAGTCCTTAAATTTATATTTGCATCTTTATTTGGCCCATTGTTAGTTGTTATTTATATTTTTGTAACTGGCCCATAACTTTTTTAATGGATATAATTTAGTCATTTTTATATTAATTTAAACCTCATATTTTAAATTTATTTCAATTTGGTCCCTTACCTATGTGTGTTGTTTAATTTATATTTTAAAATTTTATTTATAATTTTACATTTCTTCAATTTTGTCCTTAAATTTAGATTTTTTACAAAATTGGTCCATGAATATTTTTTTTATAATTTACTCGAAATCATATACAATTACAACTTGAAATTCAACAATCACGAAAGATGATAAAATAATTAATCCAAAAATAAAAACGACCCGACTTGAACTCAATCCGTATATGGTAAACATCCGACCTGAATTTTATCTGTCAATGATGTGACCCAATCTGAACGAGATCCGACTAAAGTCAACCTGAACCTGAATTAACCTGGTATTTATCTGTTTCGGACCTGAACTGTTTTGACTTGAACTGACATCGATCTAAACTGAAAATGACCTGACCTGAACCCGATTTGGATTTGGTGTCAAATCAACCTGAAAATGATCCGGACTGATTTGACTTGTACCGAACCTGATTCGAGTCAAACCATCAAATTGACCTGACTTGACATGTACATGATTTTATCTGACCTGTCAGAATCTGACTGAAACTTGTCCGATTACCTGATTTTACAGCCTTACAACATAAGACATTGTAGCTGGCACGGATGTTACCTGACACGTGTTCTTATTTTGTTTACGTTTGGTGATCCATTTTTTTGGTGATCCATTTTCTGTCTTGTAATTATTTATTTTGGCATATTCATTTGCTTTTAATGTGTTCATAAATATTTTTCATTTTAGGCTGTGTAACTTGTGTTGTAATTAGTTGACACGTAGCATATATATATATATATATATATATATATATATATATATATATATACTATGACCAATTAAAGATAAATCTATTATCACATGATAGTATTTATTAATTTGTTAGTTTATAAATAATCATTATAATTTTACACTTGACATGCACATTATAAAAATCACTATAAAATCTATCGAGCACGATTATGAGATTTGATGCAACTTTAATGAAACAATCTGATTTTAATTCTTTTATATTCTACCTCTTCACGAGGACAAAACACCTTCACACGGATCAATAACCCATCTTTTATCAATAACAATTCTTCGTTTAAACTAAAAAGGGTAATTTATTAATATCCACCGAAATCCATTTCATCTATTAATAAACTATCATATTTAACTATCAATATATGCTAAAGTATAGATCAATAAAATATTGAAATAGTAAATATAAAATATTTAAAGATTTAATTATCTTTTAATTTTTATACAAATAAAATTCACTAGTTTTACTTAAAAAATCCAAAATTACAATGACAATTAACAATCATGTAAACTAAACACATAATTAGGACATTTCTTATATTCATTAACACATTATTAGACATTCAAGAACATATAAGAACCGTACAAGGAAAAATATTAAGAATCCATCCAAAAAATATTGAATAAAATTTATATACGAATAGATCTAACTACAATGACAAATGAATCACAACAGGAGATCAAACAACTAAAAGGCCACCGACAATCTTAATTAGAGTAGGGTGTCGTGAGAAAACTATCTCCGAACACAAACCGCATATGCAAATTCATCATAGTCCAAAACAAGGCAAATTAGAAGATAATAAATAAGTAACATCTTGATCAGCCGATACGATGTCAAATCTAACCCTGAAAAAAATAAAAATAAAATACCAAATGACAGATAGAGAAGATAAAAAAATGTGTAAAAGACACAGAAAATGTGCTATAAAGCAGAGAAAATCATGCCATGAAAGTAAAATTATTAGAAATCAAGAAAATAAAGATCCAATAGAAGAGAATAGAAGAAAAATAAGATGATCATCAATTAACATTAAGATTGACGTTACTCCCTATCAATAAAACTAAAAAGAAAAAAACCCTAATAATTATAATTCACATTTTCAAATTTCTTTTAAATCTTAAACCTTAAACCCTATCAATCAAACTAAAAAAGAAGAAAACCCTAATAATTATAATTCACATTTTCAATTTTCTTTTAAATCTTAAACCCTAAACCCTATCAATAAAACTAAAAAGAAGAAAACCCTAATAATTATAATTCACATTTTCAAATTTATTTTAAATCCTAAACCCTATCAATCAAACTAAAAAGAAGAAAACCCTAATAATTATAGTTCACATTTTCAATTTTCTTTTAAATTTTAAACCCTAAACCCTATCAATAAAACTAAAAAGAAGAAAGGAAATACGTTTGATTGTTGGTCAAGCTACTCATCTTTATTTTCTCATACCAACGAAGGTTGGCTTGAGTGGAAGGGGCTCTGGTCGCTTAAGCAAGAGGTCTCGAGTTCGAACCCTTGTAGATGCAGCAAACTTTCTTGGGAGAGGTCCCCACAATTGTGCCCGACAGTACCTCGAGGGATTAGTCTCTGGCGAAAGCCGGAGGATACCTATGGGATACCAAAAAAAAAAAAAACTAAAAAGAAGAAAACCTAATAATTATAATTCACATTTTCAATTTTCTTTTAAAAGATTTAAATACTTTATAAAACATTTATAATTATGAAAAGGTTTAAACACTTTAAATAAAGATATCGAATCTTAAAAGAATAAACATAGAATCACGAGGCATTTGAGGGGGTGGGGGCACTAGTAAAACAGAACAGGAGGTTTCTCTGGAATTCTCTTCGGAATTAACTTTTTAAGTTATTACTATTATATACCAAAATGAGTTTCACTTTAATATAAAACATTTCAACATAATCCCATCGGTTTCGAAATTTTTTACCGTCCTAACAAACTTGCTTATATCATTGTTATTCACACTTGAGGGGTATGTGACACTAAGGGTGTGTTTGGTTGGAGAAATGTAAAATTTTTATGGAATGAAATCTATATTCTCCTGTTTGGTTGGTCGATAATGTCATTACCTCCATTTCTTTAGATATTGTTAGATTACTGGCGTTTTGACTAAAATGCCCTTAATTTTTTTCTTCAAAAATATCCTTATTATGTCATTGAATAAAAAAATTCTACGAATATTAAATTACAAATTTATCCTTAAACTATTTTAGATTTACAAAAAAAATCTATAATTAAAATTTTATATGAAGTTCAGGGGTTAAAATAAAATTTTACCCTTTCATTAAATCTTTTTATATTTTCATTTTTGTAAAAAAAAATTATATAAATTTTATGAATTTAAATTTCTTAAAGAAAATATATAAATATTTTTCAACTTGTTAAAAAAATAAATATATAATAAGAACAATTTGGTTAAATACACATTCTAATAATCTTTTATTTTTTTAACCAAACATGATAATCTTACATTCCTGCTTAACCAACCAAACACAAAATATAACATTCTCAATAATCCTATTCCCTGATAATCTTTTATTTTTACTGATAATCTTATATTCCATGAATCAAACACACCATAACAGAGGACACACAATTCCGCGAAAAAAATAAGGAGCCCTAACTACTAATATTTATCTATTTTATTTTTCTTTAAGATAAATCTTTATATTTTTATTAAATTTGTAGAGTACGTATAATAATAAAATAGTAATAAAATAAATGGAGATTTAAAGAGGAAGCTCAGCCTTAACTATCTGATTTACTTGGACCATTAAAACATTGTACCTTTGCCCATATCTGACTTTAAAGTAGGGTAATATATACAAATAGTCTCTAAATTATATGTATTGTTTTATTAAATTTATCAATTATTAAAAGTTTGGTCTTTTGATTATATAGAATGTTCTTTTATTGAGTCTTCTGATAATTAAGAGTTACAAAATAATTACTCTACTATTTATATGTTTTAAATTTATCATTTTTCGTTAAAAAATTGATGGTAATTTGAATTAGTCGTTAGCCTATCGGCTAAGATAGGATAAAATCATATTTTAATGAAGTCTATTGACATTGATGTTGTTTTCAAGCACGGACTCAATGGAAAAATATTTCAGGTACTAACTTGACGACATAATATAAATGGAGAGTCGATCGAAAAAATACAACTCAAATAGTTCTAGAATCAAATTTTATCGTATCTTAGTCAACATGTTAACATCCAACTCAGATGGATGACGAAAAATGATGAGTTTGAAACATATAAATAGACGAGCGATATTTTGTAACTTTTAATTGTTAATGACTCAACAAAACAATATCTTATAATTTAGGATCATTTATAATATTTAATAGTCAGATGACTCAATAAAATAACACCCCATAGTTGAGGGACCTTTTGTGTACTTTACCCTTTTGTGTACTTTACCATAGTAGGGGCGCTGGAGGAGGGTGGTATTGTCTGTATAAGATGAGATTCATTGCTTATGAGAAGACTCACAATCTCCAAAGAAGAACAAGAGAAAAGCGAGTATATTAGCTTAGAAAGATGGATCTGGCAACTGCGGCTCCCAAAGCTCCATTAACCCATGAAAGAAGGATTCGATCGGACCTCGAGGAAAACTTACCCAAACCCTGTAAAGTTTCTCTTTCTTTTTTTCCTTTGTGTTTTCATTTAGCCTAGTTCAAAACTCAATATTGATGTTTTAAGCCTTTGATTGATGGTAGTTCTGCCGTGTGGGAGCTTAGTTTAAAGCTTTATAATTACGGGGAATGTAATATTCTCTTCGTCGATTTTTCGGTTACAAACGATCTCTTCCTTTGTTTGAGTAACGTATCTATAAACTATGGGATCAGATTTGGGAAGGGCATTGGCAGCTGTGGACGTGGATCATCCACAAGGAACAGTAGGACGTGACAGTAAAGGATTGAGTGTTCTTCAGCAACATGCTTCTTATTTTGATCAGAACAAAGATGGAATCGTTTATCCTCGGGAAACGTACAGAGGTTTTTTCTTTCTCTTTCTACAAATTTTATTTTTATTTTTACGTTCTAATCTTATTAGCAAAATTTATGTAAAAACCTGCAGGTTTGAGAAACCTTGGTCTCGGTTTCATTGAAAGCCTTTTTGCTGCATTAATCATCAACATAGCGTTGAGTTATTCCACACTCGAAGTAAGTTGACTTTGTATTCCCTTGTACCAAATGAATATATATACACATACACATGACATGGTTGTTAATTCGACAAATTTGATAGGGATGGCTACCAGATCTGCATTTTCCCATATATATCGACAGAATTCACAAATGCAAGCATGGCAGTGACACAGCAACGTTCGACACTGAAGGAAGGTAATTGTCACATAACCTTTGAAACATTAAATACATAAAAAAATTTGACCCTTTTTATGTTACAAATGGCAATTTCAGGTTCATGCCAATGAACTTTGAGGGCATCTTCAGCAAGTACGCTAGAACTGTGCCCGACAAATTATCATTCAAAGAAGTGTGGCACATGACCGAGGCGAATCGGAACCAGTACGACTTCATTGGCTGGTATTCTCGAAGACCCTTTTCTTTCGATTTCGTGTTTTCGATCCGATAAATGCTTAACCTGTCCTCTGCGATTTTTCGACTGTTTGCAGGATAATCTCAAAGGGCGAATGGTTGCTCTTGTATCGAATTGCGAAGGATTCACAAGGTTATCTGGCAAAAGAAGCTGTAAGGGGATGCTTTGATGGGAGCTTGTTTGATTATATTGCCAATATGAACAAGGCTAAAAGGAATTAAGGTCTACTTATTGAAGCAGTGCATGTTGGTTGTTTGAAATATGAACTAAAGTTGTCCAATGTATAGTGTATTTGAACTACGGTTGCATCCTTTTCAACAATAAATGAACTGAGTTATCATGTTTAATTTTCTTGAGATTTTGCAATTTCGATCCAGATTTTATCATAATAAAGTTAACAGTCTCATTGACTTAGGCGACTAATGTTTCAAATCAATGTTAAATTAGTCATCGCCATTAAAGAAAGTGAATTGTTACATGATCTCTTTGTAATTGACGTAATAATACATTTCGTCTTTAAATTTTACATATTTTTCATTATTATGATTTTAATTTTAAATAAATCAATAAATTTAACCCCTTCATTTATAAAGTATATCAATTTGATTCCAATTCCAAATAAACATAGGCTTAATATAAAAATAAGTTCTCCAAATATACCGTTTTTCTTATTTATTTGTTTAAATCATTTTTCGATCAATCTAGGTACTTAACGTTACAAACACTATCATTTTAAGTGTATTGACCGCAATGATTATTAAAGAATCTTATTAAATGACACATGTCGTATTCTAATAATTTTAAAGATTCTATTTTAAAAAAATTAAAATAAATTATTTTATTTTAAAATTTATAAAAAAATTCCCAAATGCACGTCCTCGAGAAGTTCTACCGTGCGGTAACCTTAATATACGGCTAAGGAAAGACGCTACCGGTTTTGCTATTATTGTTTTAACAATACTGGTAAAAAATTACCTAAAACATTATTATTTCTACCTAATGCGTTAATATTTTTTAACATTTCTAATAATGTACCCATTAATAACAAAACCGGTAAAAAAAATCGGTAATGCTTTACCAGATATGTTAACAAAACCGGTAAAGCGCTCAATAATAACAAAACCAATAGAAATAATGTTTATGGTAAATTTTTATCGATTTTATTAAAAAATAATAAAACCGATATCATATTTTCTTAATATTATATTAAGACTGTCACACGTAAGACTTTCTCTTATCCCCTTCCTCCCGTCAATGTCGTAATTGTGATTGGGCAGGAGGGGCAAGACGCAAAGTTAAGAAATCTACCTATAATTAAAAAGGATAAACTACATAATTAGTCACGTGCTTATTACTTTATTTCTATTTTGGCAATCTAATTGTTAGATCGTACCTGAGGATACATTTTATTTATATTTTTGTCACTCACAATTAAAAAAAATAACAACTATGCTGATGTGATATTTTTTAACTTATTTTTTAGTTTCCAATTATTTTTTCTTTTGTTATTTTTTATAAGATAGAGATTGTTGAATTCAAACTCTGATCTCTTAAAGTTACATATTTTTCAATACTTATTATTAAAAGTTGAAATTTTATACTCGTTCCGAGTCACTAAAACCTCACTTACGGATCTACCCTCCGCCCCCCTTTCCCTCCCTACTTCTTTCTTCAATGGCGGAGATATATCTTCCTTTGGCGTTTTTCTTACTTACAATTTTAATGGATAATTGTTGGATCGGGATAAGAAACTATTCATTTACCCCTCCTTTGTCTTTTCCTTCCGTATAATTTTAATGGGTAATTGTTGTTTCTTTTTATTAGTTCAACGAATTAAGAGTTTTGTTCAAGCCTCGACAGTGAGTGGGAATGATGGGAAGGGACAGAGGGAGACTAGGGGAGGGGACGGATGGTGGGATATTTTTTTTAAATATAATAATTTATTTTTAAATTTTTTAAATAGAACCTCCAAAATTATCAAAATACAACACAGGTTGCTTAACTATATTAATTAACAGTTATTACGGTCGAGATATTTAAAATAGTAATATTTATAATATTAAACACTTAGATTGAATAAAAAATAATTTAAGCACTTAACTTGAAAAATAATATAATTTAACACTTATTTTTATATTAAGGTTTAAACATACCCTACACTTTTCTTGGAAGTGTTCTCGTTGTTTTCTGGATTTCCCTCAAGAATTAATAATTAGGCCCATATACTATATGTGTAACACTCTAGACCTGACCTAGATGTTACCAGCAAATCTAGGATGTCACATATCATTTTCAGAAATCCTTTAATGTTTAAACATAGTTAAAATTCATTTCAGTGAATAAAATACCTAAAATAGTATTTTACGAAAATATCTAACAAGTAAAATTTATGCGATAAACATAAAAATACCTATGTAGGAAATCTGTATAAAAATTGTTTACAACAAAATACCAATAATATATATATATGATAATAAAATTCGTGTCACCCAAATATATAGTATAGTACAAAAAGTAGAAACGGTCTATCTTCACATTATATTTCACCTTTTTTACTTGCGATGAGAAAATCGAGACTAATTTAAAACATTAGTCACCAGAACAATGAGATTTTGAATTTAGTAGTTAAAATAATAGAACCGACTTTGTACTTTGAGGATTAATAAGCAATTTAAATTACATTATATTATTATGTGATAAAAATATTTAATTAGAATTTGGATCGAAATTGCTAAATCTCAAGAAAAACAAAACATAATTTATTGTTGAAAAAGGATGGAACTTTAGTTCAAATACATTACATAATTTTACTAATAAAATTAGAACATAAAATTTCTAGAAAGAGAAAAAAAAACCTCTGTAAGTTTCCCAAGGATAAACGATCCCATCTTTGTTTTTATCGAAAAAGGAAGCGTGTTGCTGTAGAACACTCATTCCTTTATTGTCACGTCTCTCAGGTCCATGTGGATGCTCAATGTCCACAGCTGCCATTGCCCTTCCCATATCTGATCCCACATTTCATAGATATGTTACTCAAAGAATACCTTAAAATTAAGATCAAATTGAAACCACAAAGGCAGAAAGAAAGAAAGGAGCATTACAGGGTTTGGGCCATTTTTCCTCGAGGTCGGATCGAATCCTTCTTTCACGAGTCAAAGGAGCTTTGGGTGCCACCGTTTCCATATCCATCTCTTTTTGCTCTTCTTCTTCTTTGGAGATTGTGAGTTTTCTCATGAGCAATGAAGCTCTCTTTATAGAGAAAATCTTGTCATCGAAACAAGATAGCACACTCCTTAGACACCCTACTATTGCTAATTTTTAACAATTTTAAAGACACTTTAATATTTATGAGTGTATCAATGATTTCCACGATTTCGAATTACTATTTGATAAATTTTTTTGATCAAATCAATTAAATGACAACTTGACAATCTCTCGGAGTCGGGTTAGGGCGTTAGAGGATCTGTGCAAATTCTTAAAAGGAGGTCCTTAAATCTCAATTTTTTTGATATTTTCTATATGACTTCAACAAGATTCGATCGCATGTTATGTGATTTTGAGCTAAAACTTTTTACAATTGATCCATAATATTTTGTTTGCTTTTTTATTGAAACAATAACAATAAATTTAATTTTTTGGGTTCTTGCTATTTCGGGACCCTATTCCGTCACACACACATTGCACCCCTCTGCAATCTCCCATGCTTTAATGCCATACCAGTTTATGATTTTTATATTATGTTGCACACATGCCAACTTCCCAAAACTTAAGGCAAGGCCAAAAGTTTTGACAATTGAATACCAATTTTTAGGTGATTAGTGCTCATCGACCAAAGTTTTATAACGAGCAAAACCTTGAAATTAACAATTTCAATAACCTATCAAAAGATCTCAATCGTAAAAAAAAATCTCTTTAAAAGATTCATATTCAAACATATTATATATAATATTATTTTCTTATATTCATTTCAGATCATTAAAAAATAATTTTAATAACATCTTAATGGATGGTACCCATCCCCGAACTCAAAATAATCTCCATCCCCGACCCCAATCCGATCCCCGTCGGGTTTTTTATCGGTGCGTTCCGTCGGAGATTTTTTTTGCCCCGTCCTTAAATCCGACCCGAAATATTATACTCAAACCCGAACCTAAAAATATTATATATATAATTAATATAAAAATATAAAATATTATATATATATAAAATATAAAATATTATATATATATATATAATCGGGGTGGGGCGGGAAGGGCGGAGATACCTTACCCCGTCCCCGAACCGGACCCAAAAAAATCTCCGATATCTGACCCGAACTTGACCGGATTTTAAATTTTTCCGTCGGGTTCGGGACATTCTGTCATCCCTAATCATGGGGTTCTAAAACAAATTTAAGAAATAAAAAAATAGCAAACGATGTTAATAGATACTAATTCAATGTTATTATTTTAAGATATTTTCTTTTCCCTAGCTTTTGTATAATTGAGATATAAAAACAACTTAAAAATAGTTAAAACGCAACCTAATATAAAAATTATATATGAACACACTAAAAGCAAATGAATATGCCAAATTATATATGTTTAACACACTTTTAGGTGCTTATATTATATTTTAAATTGACTTTTAGTGTTTAAAGAATTTTTTTTTATAAATAAGTACCTAACGTTTTCTCCGTTATATGTTTAAGTACCTACTATTATATTTTTATTTTTTTAATAATAAAAATATTATTAAAAAAAATAAAAATCCAACCCCCACTTCCGACGATGAAGAGAAATCACCTCTAGCCGGATTTTGTTTGAAGCAGGGTGAGAAACTCAATGGTGATGGTCGTGTAACATACAACCAGTTTGTAGCAGTTAAAATCACCAAAAATAACGAAGGAAAACTTAAAAAAACTGGAAACCCTTCGCAGTGATTTTCACGACGATCAATATAGTTTCACGATGTATGGAGGACTGAATTTTGGTTGCGGCTGCTAGACTGTTCTGATGGTGTCAACGGTGATGGCCACGGATCGACAGTGATCGAACGACGATGGAATTTTGGGGGGTTTTTTTTAAAAAAAAAACTTTTTAAATTATAATTATTAATTATTTTTTAAAAATATTTTGAAAATTTTATATGTGTTACACGTCTCATATAACAACTAAAGTTAACAGTCACTATGATTCAAACACCTAAAAATATAACGTTGGAAACGTTATAAATTTACTTTACCGAAAACTTCTTTAGATACCAAAAGTAAATTTGAAATTATAGTTTAGATACCTAAAATGTAATAAGCGAAATATATAATATGAAACATCGAAAACATCGCCAAATTGTAAACACGTGCAAGTTACAATG